ATAAGGGTATATATATATATGGTCAAATTTGCTTCTCATATCTTATGGACTTTTTGAAATAATGGACAAATTTTTATTCGTTTCATTTTGTTGTACTGGGTGTATGATATCTTAGTCTTATGCAGCATGATATGGAATCATACATTTTTACAACTTACGATATATGCCTCTTATTTGATATAACATTTTGCTCTAGGGTGATGTGGAATCAATTGCTTCAAAGAACCCAAAAGAGCTCACTGCTCTTCTTGAGCAGATTTCTGGGTCTGAGGAGCTAAAAAAAGACTATGAGGACCTTGAAGAGGTAAAAGCAACAGCTGAAGAAAAATCAGCTCTTGTATACCAAGAAAAGAGAACTGTTGTCATGGAAAGAAAGCAAAAGAAAGCACAAAAAGAAGAAGCCGAAAAGCATTTGCGCTTGCAAGATCAATTGGTATGAAAATTTACATTACAATATTTCAAACTTTTTATTTATTTATTTTTTTTCTATTTTGAGTGTCATAGGAATTGCCTCTATAGATTCTAATTACCACAATTTTTTTCGTATTGAAATTATAACCATCGAAATAAGTTTAAACATCTAAAATGATCTTCCATTACAACCTTTAAATAGGTTTTTATTTTTCTTAAATTTCAGCAATAAACTTTTTTATGGAATGGGCATTTATTTGTTATACTTTTTTAACTTACAATAATAGCCTGTTGTTCTGAAATTTAGCTTGTGTTAAGCATTGTTGTAGTTTCTATCTTTTTGTAATATAGAAAATTTAAGAATACTTTAGAAAATGTCTGAAATTTCCAGAGAGGTAAAGATGAAAAATAAAACATGTGGAAGAAATAGCATGCTTTTGGTGTTTGATATGATTGGGTTTACTTTTTTGTTGCTGGCAATTTTCATTTTAATTTTTTTTTATTTCAATTATAAGATAGAAAAGGTATTTGATGCATGAGGTTGTCGTTAACGCTGGGCCTAGATATACTCACCTCTAGCCTTTGCAGTGGAAAGGCTATCAAAGTTCATATCATTTAATCAAGTCTCCTAAATATGTGGTAGAAAACTTTCAAGTTTTTCACAGTTTAATTTGGTTTAAAAAAAACTGGCTATTCAATATTTTTTTTTCTCATTCACGATGATCTATAAAATTAAGTTTAAGTGTTTAAATGAAGAAATGTCTCAAGTCTGCTATGAAATAAGAGAATATCGCGGAGTTTTGAAGGCGAGTTTCCTAAAACTACTATTTAAGTGGCCATGGTATAAATGGTATATGAATTTGAGTGTCTTACGGTAAAGAAGCCCCTATTATAACTAGGAATGTTATGACAGATTTGAATTTCAACTTTGAAGATATAATTTCAAATGATTATATGAAGCCATATTTGTTTCACCATCTGGTGACAAGCAACGGGCATTGCATCACTAAGACAAGTAGATAAAGTTCTTGTAGAAAAATTATGAAGGAGAATGGTAGATAAAAAAGTAACATTATTAGATAATATGCAATGGGTTCTTGCATGATTTGTTAATATCTCACAAAATGAGGATTTGACCTTGAATACTTGGCTCAAGACTAATGATAGATGATGATATTTGAGGCCTAAGGAACGTAGAAATGCAGAAATAAAAGGTTGACTTGGAGTAGTTAGAATAAGGTAGCTGCTGCAAATGATTTTTCTTAGGATCAAATTTCAACTTATTCATTCAACACATTGTGGGGGAAAAACCTGGTGACATTGTACTTATTGATGCTTAGTAGTGAAGCATGTTGAGGCCTCTGCAGTTGCTATTCTTTTAGTAGCTGGGCTTATAAAATCTTTTTCTATTTAGAACTATTATCATGCTATGCCATGTATGAACTTCAAATAAATCCTCTTGTTTATGTCAACTGGATTTAATATTTTTCTTATTTTGTTTCGTTCTTACAAATTTTTTTTTTTTAGTTGTCAATTTCGTGATAGAAATTTCTTACACGATGTTTTATTCTGTCCTCATACTGGTACATCTTTTTTTATTTTTTCAGAAGCTGTTAAAGCAAGATCATTTCTTATGGCAACTTCATAACATTGAGAAGGACACAGAAAAGTTGAATGCAGAACTTGGAAATGCTAAGGAGGAGCTAGTTGGTCATACCAAAAAGCAGGAGGATTACGATCGACAGTTGGATGTGAAAAAGAAAGAGCAGAATGCACATTTAAAAGAAATCTCATTGAGTGAGAAAAATATATCAAAGAAAAAAGCTGAATTAGATAAGAAGGTGAAGCATCCTTTGTTAAATACCTTGAATTTCTTATAAGCATATGCTTCTGCTAAGTATGAGCTTCTTACTCTCTTGGCTACTACGCTGTTAGCAGTTTTATTTTTAAAGCTGCTTATGTATATTCTTATTTTTTTAAATAGTTTTTAGGTATTTGGTATTCATTTAACCATCAGATTGTAATGAAAGGTTTATATTGCTTTCCATATTTTATAAGTAATTTGGAAAAGTTATTAGTAGTAGTATTTTTGATTTGATACTATAGATTTGAATGTTATATGTAAAAGTTTGTGTTAGATATTTAAATATATAAAAATTTTGTGGTATTTCTGTAAATGTCCCTATAATAATTCATTAAGCATTAAGAAAATTTATTTACATAGAATCAGCTACACATAAGTCGTTTAATACAACCCTTGTCAAACTATTAGTATGGCTAATATTTCTACTGAGGTTCTAGAATTGCACGTTAATTTTAATAAATTTATTGCCCCTTTAAATCATTTCTTGATAGCTTTGATCAATAGAAAACCCATGTTACTGGATAACTCTTAGAACTGAGACTGAATTCACGGGACACTCAAAATACTTTTTCTTGGTTGGATCATTGCAACAGCACCAGAGTTTATTTAGACAGTCCTTAAAATTATGGTTTATCGCCAAATGGTACATTCTTGAATGTTAGACAAAAGACAATCTTCGAACAGGAAAGACTCTCTAAAGGAATACTTTGTATTAGAATTTCCATATTTTGTTGTACTCATTTTTAAATGATTGTTTTTACTAGGTTAGGGGGAACTAGATTAATCAGAGGATTAAAGCAATATATAAGTTGTAAGAAAAAAAACATGTTTTAAAGCCATTTTTTATTATTTTTTTATGTCAAGTTATGGGAACTGTGAACACATATGATTATTATATTGCATATGTCTACTGGTTTTTCTTACTGGCTTGCAATACAATTATCTATTTATTATTATGTTTCTTTTTTTGTGTATGTATGTGGCATCTTTAACTTCTACCATACATAGACTATTGATTTATTTGTCTTCATATATATATATATATATTAAATTTCATTCTTATATAGTCTATCTATCCCTTGTCTCCTTTTTCATTTGTCTATCTTTGCTTTTCTATATTCATCTATGCGCTGCTTTGGATTTGAAGAGCTCAATATCTCTTCATATTTTTTTTTCCTGTGTCTATCACTACTTCATTTTCATAACTTTGATATATTCATCTTTTTATCTATGCTGCCATCTTTTTTGGTTGGCCTCTCTAGCTCTGTCTTTGTGCAATCTTATGTGTTTTTAAAGTTCACCTTGCAAATGCTCTCTTTTAGTGTCTTTGTTTGTTCGGTCTTCTTTATTCGTGAAGTTTAGACCTTGCACATGTTACGAGTGTGCATAGACGATACATAGGGAGGAAAAAAGGCAGCCAAAGCAATCATTGATCAACAAATAGAAGTTCAAACATGCTTACACAAACATGAAAAAATAGATAAAGGATATGACATAGGTTAAAGTAAATAAACAAGATGAAGCCTTGATTTTTCTAATAATGATAGTGCTATATTCTAATTAAACTCCCAACTCTTCGAGGTGAGAAGCATGCACATATCCCTTGATGAGTTGATGTCCATGGAGGAGGCAGCGACTACAAAATGTTTTTGTGTGTTTCTTTCAATTTCAAGATATATGGGCACAGTGGTCTTGAGTGGGGAGGTCAATACCAACCAACATGTTTATATTAATTCATCATTGTTTGTTGATCAGGCATATCGCTTATGCCTGTCAGGGAACCCTTTAGAAATGCAGGCTTATGAAAAAGTAAAAGTATGACCAACAAATAGAAGTTCAAACATGCTTACATAAGCATGAAAAAACAGATAAAGGATATGACATAGGATAAAGTAATAAATAAGATGAAGCCTTGATTTTTCTAATGTTGATAGTGCTATATTCTATTTAAACTCCCAACTCTTTGAGGAGAATTAAGCATGTGCATATTCCTTGATGAGTTGATGCCCATGGAGGAGGTGGCGACTACAAAATGTTTTTGTGTGTTTCTTTTGATTTCCAGAAATATGGGTACATTGGTCTGGAGAGTGTTGGAGAGGTCAATACCAACCACCATGTGCTTGTATATTAATAGATGATTGGGAAATTTTGTGGTAATAATGGTCATTGAATAATATTATAAATCACATGCAAGGGTTGGGACTGTGGATCTGACTTAGTAGTCACCAGTTTGGGTAGGGGAATAGGAATTATTGGAATTTGGAACACCTAAGCCTTTGTGCTTGAGAATGCCTCATCTTGGCTACCAATATTTAAACTTGAATATTGGATTAATAAAATATTAGAATAGTAGAAGATTGAATAGTAGAAAGATTGATAAGAGCGTGAATGAGGCTTGTATTTGTGATATGTGGGCTATCTGAAATATTGTTTTATTTAAGACTAATATTCTGCAGGCTCAAGCTACTTTGATTTATTCAAATTCATTAATTTGATTGCTTGAGTTAAAATGAAATTTAATTCAACTTGACCTATCTGGGATCGATATAATTTAATTTGAGTTGACTCAAAAAATTGATTGTAAATTCATTTATATAGTTATTTATTTATTTTATATTAAGGCTTAAAAACGTAAAATTAGGGATTTAGGCATTTTCTTTAAACAACGTGAGGCATAGGCCTCGAGGTCGATTAAGTATTAAGCCCAGAATGACAAATAAATCATAAAATAAAAAATATTTCGTAAATATAATAGAAATCATCAATATATTAATTTAGTTTATTATTATAAGGGCATAAAAGACAATTATTGTAAATGGTAAATATTTCACTGGCAACAAAAAAAGAATCAAATTTCCATGCCTACATGATGCAAATACAAAATTTTGAAAAGAAGGTAAAATCATGTGTTAGAAACTAGATTCTAATTTTAATAGACAAAACAATAGCATTAGCATATTTGCATTGCTTAAAATTGAACTTAGCACATGTTCTTCTAGTTCAAATATTTCTAGGTCATCTTTACGTTGTTTGCTGGCTTAGTTTTTGGCTCTTGGTGTAATTCAAGCACAAACTCGGATTCTTCAGGGCCAGGTTCATTAAACAAAGGTTCATTATGTATTGGTTCAAGCGTTGATTCAGTTTCTACTATGAGTAATCCCTTGAACTAAATTTTATTCTTCTCATCCTTTGCTTGACACTTCAATATTTTTTTGAGTAGGATTTGCTTATTCCTTAAAAAAATTATATTTCCCAAAGCTTGCAGAGAATTTCGAATTCATTTTTGGTTCAATCCAAGACTTTTAATGTTGTGGATAGAAATTTAAGTATTTGCAGTGACAACAAAATAATAAATTATGGGTAATTCTTGAATGAGATGAACGCACTGTCGGCCGTTATTTTGAAAAGGAAATGATGATTTTTGTAAAATATGAAAATATATTTGATGTAAATATGATTTTTGAAAGCAACATTTTAATTTAAAAATAGATGAGATCAAACGAGTCTCACATATTAAATAGTTTGGATGGATGAGCGCGATACCATAAGTAATACATTATTCAAAAGAATAAGCATACCACTTGTCAGTAGGCTCAACCATCTAAACTAAGGATCACCTAAACTAAAGAATTTGTGACATCTGTTTGGTCTGCAAAACCTTTTATGTATGGCCGACAAGTTCTCCTACCTAATATAAGGATTATATAAGGTTTATTTTACCTGGATTCTAAGCTCCCTATAGAGGCAAACCTCTATAATTAATTACATCTTAAATGACCGGGGTCATTTAAGAAAATTTTCTATTAAGATCGGTGGTTCTGCTTTCAAGATTTCAAAGTTTAGGTTTCCAAGATTGGACACGAAAAATTCAAACGGGAGTGACTCAAATAGGAACAATTATTTTAAGAAATCCAAAGGAGGGAAGAGTACGGGATATCACAGATCCAGGGAGAACCCCGGTGATTTCTCAACTATCCTATTGTTTGGTTTTATGTTTTTGAAGCGATGGTATTAGATATTTAATCCTGCAATTTACTTTTATAATTTAGGACATACATTCGCACGATATCTGATCGTACAAATGATCTAAAAAGATAGGAGGATTTATACCGTACCGGGCGGTAACCTCGGAATTCTAAAAGTGTTAGGACTTATAATTACACAACAGAGTTATGCAAAAGCCTAAAAATAATGTGAGGATTTACGTTGCGCCAAACAAACCACCTCGAAGTTCTATGACTTGTTATTTAAACTAAGGAAAATGTTTAGTTGACGTGAACTTGTTTTGACGTTGCAAATCCACCTCGAAGTTTCTTTTCTGTGTGTCCTCGTCGTGCTGCCCACGGTGTTCGCTCCAAGCTCCCCGTCGTAGCACTTTCGGATTCAATGTTAATTTTAAGTGTATATGCAATTGTTTAGTCAACGTTCTGCTGTCGGGTACCTCCTATGAAACCAACTACTGGCCTCCTATTCTAAGGTATAGTGTGTAAATGAAACAATAACATGTACAAGTATAATGACAAAATTTAAGAAATGAGCTAACATGCATTGCATCATCAAAATAAATACCATATGGAAAACTCAAGAAAGAGCGGCAAATGACCTACGACGAAAGAAAACTCGAGAAAATTGACAAATGACTTAACGGAAATCTCGAAGCAAAACAACAAACTCAAAGAAAGTCACCGAAAACATGGGAAGATCCCGGAAAAAGACCACGAGTGCTTTACCAAAAATTCCAATAAAATCCCACGAAAAATCTGAAGAACAAAAACTGCAAACACTCGGGTCGGGTCTAGGCTCAGATACTATATATTTGTACTCGAGGGATGTTGAAGGCTACTATCGGTCACCCGGATGTATAGAAACCGCCACTTAACTAGAAGGCTGCCCTACTAAACCTAACTTAGGAGGGTACTTCTTAGCTCGGTACTGGTAATCAACAAGTGAACAATCAAGTTACAATATATTTAAAAT